TAAACAAAAACTCAAAGTTATCACAGCTTATGGCCTAACAGATGAAATAATAATAGGAGATGGAATAGATCAAGAAGAGGTAATCTTACCAATAATTTGGCAACTCTTCTATGATTTATTATTAGAAAAGATACAAAAAGATGAAACATTAGACTATATAATAGAACAAAAAATAACAGAAAGAGCATGCAATGATAATGTTACAAGTTATAGACAAGCAGCAATTGCATATGCTAATAATACAACATGGATTGCAAATAGCAAAGAACAAATACTAAAAATTCTAAGCATCATAGAAGAGTTCTTTAAGGCAAATAATATTGAAATAAATGGATCCAAATTAAAGCTTATAGTAATGAATACAAGAACAAGAGAAGAAGAAAGAAAAATTATATTTGGTCATAATAAAATAATAGAAGAACCTAAAAACAAAATTGTAAGGTCACTAGAAATATAGCTAAATAGCAAAATGAGAGAAGTGCTAATCTGTAAAAAAGAAAAAGAAATTGTTAGTTAAACAGTTAAAAATCTGAAATACAAAAAGATGATAATGAGCCAAATCACATATATAAACAATACAAAAATAATTCCTAAATTAGGATATCTCTTATAGCTAACAAAAATGTTAGAAAGAATAATTAATAAAATACATCAACTATTAATATACTTAGCTAAATATAAGTGCAATATGATGAGAATATCAAATGACTACACAATTGAGTACAAAGACTTAGATAATTGCAAAACACTAAGCCAAGAAATAATAATCAAGCAAATAAGTAGCCTTTTCTCAAGACTCAATAGACAGAATAATTTAAGCAAATTAACAAGACTTAGAATAGCTTAAAGATGTCAAAAAGCAGGTTTAACAAAAGACATTTAGAACAATAAAAGAAAAATAGAAGTTAAGAAGTTTTAAAAAAACAATCTGGCCTGTCAAACAATAGCTAAAACAAAAAAAATGAGTATAAATATCAAAACAAAAAGACCCTTATAGAAAGTTTACAAACACAGTAAACAAATAAGACTCATACTAGAAACAAAAATATGGATAACAAGTGGTAGTACAATAAATGAATAGAGATTACTATATCTGAACCAACTTATAGATATGAAAGGTGATAACCTGATCACATGAAGACAGCTCAAGAGTCTTCAAAGTCTGTTATGCAAAGAAAAGAAAGCTAAATAGTTTAGCGAAATAGAAGAAAAGATACTAAAAACACAAATGAGCAAAGAAGTACAAGACTATTACAAAATAAGAAGATATAATATACATGTATTAAAGATTAAGTAGACAAAGGTAACTGAAGACCAAAAGAAAAAAAAATAGATTATTTATAAACTGAAACACAACTAGCAATTAGGTAAAGTAATCAAGAAGGAAAAAAAAAGTTTTGGCAGAGTATTAGTCAATGCATATAGAAGAAAAAAGAATATTAACAGAATTAAGTATATGCAAAGATTGTAAAAACAGTTTAAAACAAATAACAGACAAGTATGAAAAATGGATAAGACAAGATCACAATATGTAAGTAATATCAAGATTGCTAATAGAGAAAACTAATAATAGAATAAATGCAACATTAGAGCAGATACTAGAAGATAGAATAATAGAAGAATAGAAAAGAGATAAAATGAAGTTATTAGGAATAAGACAAACAGAAGAATTAGAAATAAAACTGATCAGAAAACAAGAATTCAATAGCAGAATTACAAATTAGTTAGTAGAGATATTAATATAAAATAAGAAGAGAGACAAAAGAAAATACAATTTTTATACTAATAAAGCAATATACAAGAAGAAAGAAGAAAGCAATATAGAAAGAATTAGTATCAGTTAGATACAAGTAGAAGAGAAAAAAGATTGGTCAGAAGAAGAAACTGCATTAGAACTGGAAGATTAACCTTTAGTAACAATAGCAGAACTAGCAGCAATATAGACAGCAATTCTAATAGTATCAGAAAGAAAAAACATAGAAGTGTTTACAGACAGCATTGCAGCAATAAGAAATATTAATAAAGTACTTCAAAATATAGAAAAGGAAAAAATTCTAAAGAAGAAAAATGCAATGTAGATAATGAACATTGTAGGTCTAATTAAGTATAAGAACATTAAGATAGAAATAATTAAAGTTTAAAGTCATAATGAAAACAAATAAAATGACAAAGCAGATTCTTTTATAAAAAAAAAAATAAATTACCAAAATAGAATATATGTAGACAAAGTCAAATATAAGAAGATAGAGTATTATTTAGAGTAGGAAAACAAAAAAATCGATATATTAGCAAGACTTCTTTGTAAAATAATAGCGAATACCAGAATAGGAACTAGTTGAAAAGAAACAAATTCAATATTAATTTTAGAATCAGAAACAGAAAATACACTTCATAATTGGTCAAGTTTTTGGAAAGAAACGAATAGGACAAAAGAAGTTTATTATATATCAAGAAAACTTAATATAAGAAAAGCTATAGCAATTAAGTACATAATGGATAGTCAGCCAATACTTGAAGAGCTAAACAAAAGAAGATTAGAAATATATACAACAGCAGAGTACCAAGTATGTTAAGTTAGAGAAAAAGAGACTTAAACATATTTAGCAAGTTGTAGTAAACAAAAGAGTTTGTGAAAATGGATTCAAAAAGTTGTAATAGTAATAACATAAAACAGACTCAAGAAAGAAGAAAAAAACAGAACTCTATCACAAGTCCTATATAAGACATTATTTAGAGAAACAGAAGCTAAAGAAATTACAAACAAAAAAATATTGATAAAAGAATTTACAATATTAAAAGTAAAAAAAAGGCTTGAAAGACTTTTAGACAAGCAGATAATATAGAAATATAAAGATATAGTAACAAAAACAGTATGTAACACCTTCTATGATCAGATATAGAAGGTATAATGTGAAAAAACATAAATCTGAGAGAAGAAGACCAAGATAATGAATAAAATGAAAAAGATACTTATGCAAAAGAAAAAACAAAGAAGAGAATAAAAAAAAATAAACAAGTAAGAGAAGAAAAAAAAAAAAAAGCAAAAAAAGCAGACCAAATGAAGAAAGAAGCTTTGAAGACAATAAATACGCTTGTCACAGAAAAGGAAAGACCCTTTTGGTATAGCTTTAAGTAGTTAAACAAGCAGTCTATCTCTAACTAAAATAATGCAACAGATTGCACTTAGGTATCATTAGGATGACTAAGTAATGCTAGACTTAAATATTAGAAAATTCTATGTAATTGTATAATATATAGTTTCAAGAATCTTAATAAAGTACTAGTGTAACTGCTTAAGGTTTAAAAAAAAAAAAAATTATGCTTTAATTTAAAATATAAATTCTCTAAAAATTAGTATTATAATAAAAATCTCAGTAACAATTATATAGCAAAATTTATAAATTTATAATTTTTTTAAAAACCTTATTCAAATAGTAACAATTTGACCTGGCCAAATTATAAAACCCGATTAATTAAGTTTGTATAACCTACTTTTAATATTTGTATACTTTTTAAAATTTATTAAATAAAAAGTTTTAATTAAATAAACAAATAAATATAATAAATAAAATTGTTTAATTTATACAGTATACATAAAAGAGGCCTATACGGACCGGGCCGAACCAGACCGAAATTAAGAAATTTTTTTAAAAAACAAAATTGCGGACCTTGTATAGTAAAACGATTCGAACTTTTGAGATTGTATTTTGTGGGCCAGCCTAATGTGTTGCTTCATTAATAACAATATTAATATTACTTGCATACGTATTAAAATTTTCTTAATCTGATTGGTCGATAGTCATTTTATTGTAAATAGGGTACGTATAAAAAAAATTGTCAAAATTACTATAGTTGTAGTGTAGCCAGCTTACGTACAATGAAAAGTTTTTTTATGCCAAGTAAATCTTTCTTGAGTTTCTAGAGCAATTTATTCCGATTCTAGTAATGGTAAAGTTATTACGTAAAATGGGTTCATAACTATATATGAGTTTTATTTACATATTGCCATATACGTAAGAGTACGTATTAGCGTTAGTAATTCTCAACTGTGATCTACCACTTAATCTATTTTAGGATCACAGTGTTATACCAGATCTTGTTATTTGATTGGTAGGGGAAAAATGGCATGATAAATTTTGCCCAATCAAAAAACTGCATCTGATAACTTGGGGAAGAAATTAGGGCTTCCCTAACACGGTATTTATGATTGTATTTTTAATACGTGCGTATATATATTTTACAATAATTAATTTTTATATATATATATATACGGAGGTTAGAAATATGTACTGTAGTTATAGTCCAGTTTAATTCGGCGTTGATCCTAAAAATCAAGTTTTTGTAGAGAATTACGAATTAAACCATGGTCAATAGCCTGGTTCGTGAACCAGTCTATTAAACTAACCCATAATGATCAAGATTAAAGTTAGAATAAGGTTAGAGTAGAGCAATTAAAATGTTTTTAACTTGAAAAATTTTTGTTACATAGTGTAGAGTACAGAAAATGGGTTCACCACTTTAAATGTTATACCTGACCTTGCAAACTGATTGGTCGGCCAGAGTAGTGATGTAATAACTCTCTTATAATTATTGAATTATTACGTACATTATTATTATATAGCGATAGGGTTCACGGCGAAAAACTACTTGAAATAGTCAAAAGACCAGTCCGAACTGTAGTCTTTTCGGGACCGTGTCTCTAGTAAAGACAAGGCACGTATTCCTTTAAAATTGATTTGTAACACTATTTTATTATAAATAAATAACTATTATTAGAAATTGTTTATGTCGTTCAAAACATATAATGATGAATCAAAAAATATTACATCATGATTAGGTATACAAAAATTTATTACATCATCACCATTAGGTATATAAGCCGATTTCGTTTCCTTCATGCTTCGCTTAAAAGCGATCTGTTTTTCTACTTTAATATTTTAATTAAAAAATAAATTCTTGCATATAATATTATTTACCACTTTATATAAATTTATTTATAGGAACACAAAGTCATCCTATCTTACTTTTTTCGAGACTTTTGCTTTATAAATACACTTACTAAAATGTCTTCTAATTCAATATCAACTGTCGAAAACTCAACGGTTCACGATCTCACGTATTATGTAAATATAATCAGTCGATACTTGAGCCCTCCATCTACAACAGTGATTCATTCAGAAGATGGTGAACTAACTAGTGATGAAAGACTACAATATGCTATAAAATATTATCGCGAGGCATATGAGCTTTTTCCTAGTTCTTATGACATTAAGGTACGTACCCAAAGTATCGGAAATATGTTCGTAATTCTATGGTTAAGAATGGATTGAGGATACGTTTTATTATATGAGTGCCACCAAAGGAAAACCTACATGTTGTACTTTTTGAATATTTCCTTATAATAAAAATATCTTAAAATCATACAATTTATTTGAATCGTCTCATTAAGATGGTTCGAATGATATTAAATTAGTAGGTATTAAATTGCCTGACTTTGATATTTTTATTAAAAGTAAATATTCAAAAAGTACAGCAGGTAGGTTTTCCCTTGGCGGCACTCATTAAGTGGATTCGATAATCTAAGTAAACATCGGCACATATATTTCTTGTTTAACGAATTCATAATATTTTATAAGTTTATTTATCATATTAAATTTAATAATTTCTATCAATTTTGGGTTATTTATCATACAGCTTTTAGGACATAAAATCGCGATCAAAGAAGGCAACATGACTCAAGCGACGATTCAATTTGATGAATTGTAAGTTTTCTTTCTGATAAAATAAAAAATTTTGCTCTAGTTTCTTGTGCATCTACCTATTTATTTGCAAATCATTGCCATTAAACAATCGATTGATTGTTCACCAATGTTATTGTGTTGTAAAAAAAAACAAAAAAAAAACCAATAAATCGAAAACAAATAAAATTTATAACCTAGACGTACACTCCACCCTAATCATGAACCGTTAAAGGAATATCTTGTCGAGATAACATACTCCGTACGCCATCGGACAATGGACGACAACTTCAGTGAGTAAAAAAAATATTCTTGCACGTTCAGGCACGTGCAATTGAGGCGCAGAGCTTCCCAATAATGTGGCTTTTAGAAGTCCTCCAAAATTGATGTTAAATATTATGGAAAAAAATAATATGGAGCGAAGCCTTGGAAATGCTATTGATCCGTGTGCCACCAGGTTTTCCTAAGTCTGGCTGAAAAATAAATCCGTTTAGGTTACAATCAAAGAGGTCCAACATATAGTATTGTATACGATATAAGGGAGCAACGTTATGAAATTCTCCATATATCGGTGTAGCAACTAATAAGATCTTCAACAAAGTTGTGACCCTATCCCAGCCATTCTCGTAATTTACGCGAAAAAAGTTGATTCACATATTACATACATTATGATGATATTTTTATCTACATTTTTTAAGACAGCATTGATAAAAAAAAAATTGATTACCCAAAGAAGGTGCAAAGTTAATTTTAATTAATATGTATTTAAGTGGACAGCCCAAGAATTTGATGGCGCCTATTTGTTCCAATCAATTGCATATTTACGGAACTAAATTGTATAAAGAATAAAACAACCACATATATAGTCTTTTTCATCTTCTATTATTAACTTTGGTCTTATTACAGCATTTTTCTTACGACTTCCTGCTCGAACTCAAAAAGAAGTGATAATAAATAGTGCTGGTAATCTTTATTTATCTTATTAATTATTTAAGGTAATTATTTAAGGGATATATTATTATGTTAATGCTTTACATTATTTTCCAATTGTAGTATGGCATGAAAATACTGGCAGTTTATTAGATGCTTGTGAATTATACGCCCTGCTATTGAAGGCATATCCAGACACTGTCACCTACTACGGGGTAGTTATTTACAATAGTGTTCATATAATTCATTATCCTTAAAAGCATTAAGATTTTGATCTGAAACATTCTTAAAGGCACACGCTGCCCAGCTTGCATTGAAATGCGAAACCCAACACAAACCACTTTCAGAATGCAACAAGTATAGAAGATTGTTTGGTTGGTTTTAGTTGTTAATTTTTGATTTTTATTGAGGATTTTTATTAAGTAGTTTTAACTCTTTTACGAATGTAATAAAAGTTGAGGACATTTTGGAGCCAATACTTCGTCAAAATATAGTCATACATGAAGTATGCCTCCCTGTTGACATTAAAGTCTTTAATCCCAAAAAAGACATACCCATTCCCATTTCAACTTCGACATCTCCACAACCAAATTATCCGACTAATTTTAACATAACTTATAGCCAGTTAAAAACATGGCTTGAAAGAGCTCAAGGCTTCTATATAGCTAGCAAAGAATGGAGAAAGGTGTTTGAAGTTTCCTTTACTGTAATGGCTAGTTGTGGGATCTTGAAATTTGAGAGGTATTTTTGCAGTGGTTGACAAATCGCTTTATTTTAGACTATAAGCTTTAGAAATCCATTTTGTCTGACCATAATAGTCATAAAATTCTTTTATGCTTAACGCTAACGTATTTTCTAGTGGTCCGAAAACAAAGTTGGTGGCTATTTTTGACGATCCAAAACAACTGCCATCGAAAGTTTTCGAAATTCTCAACAAAGAAAGCTTAACAACATTTAATAATAGCCTAACTTATTTAGGTACCGCTCCGCATCCGTTTGCTTTATCGATTGGTATAGCATGTTTTGTCCATTGCTGTCACGAATTTTACCAATTTGTGGCTGGACTAAAAAGTACGTCACCTGAGGGTATGTTTCTCCTCTTTTAATTGAGAAGTTGAATTATAAACAACCTCATGCTATATCAATTATATCATGCATGTCATCTCTTAAATATATATCGATAATGGATGCAAAACTTTAAGATGGCATTTAAAAGTAAAAATCAATTATCTTACCCTTAGTACATATATATTTGTCTCGTTTTGCTTAAACGTTTCTCTTTTCAAGGTAAACAACGAACATGCCTTACGCCTGTTTATATTCCCGGGCCGTCAAAGAAGTCAGAAACACCTTACGTTCAATTTTTTTCTGGTGACCAAAGGCCAAGTAAAAAACGAAAATTAAGTTTCTTATTGTCCGAGGAGTCAGATGATGGCTATGAAAATGAAACGATCAATGATGATACTACGAATAACGTGAGGAACGTTATGAATGTTAGAAATTTATTAATTGAAGAACCTTCACAAAAAAAAGATCCTTCAGTAATGAGAAGGAGACAATTAGATACACGTCTACTAAATTTAATCAAAGAGTGGGAAGGTATATTTTTTTACAAAATTATATTTATTTTTTAAAAAAATTATTTTGAAATTTTGTTAATTTTATATTATAATCTTTTTATACGTCACCAAAATTTACAGAAACATACAGTGTCTCAGATACTTATATTGAAGAAGCAATGTCATACAGGGATCGAGCACTAAATTGTTGGCAACTTTGCGCCACTCTAATTGAACGCGTTGATGGTGAAACGCCAATTCTGGAAAAAGGTACATTGCTTTAAGATACCCCAGATATTTTTAAAGTTGATATTTAATAGTTGATTTTATTTTTCTTTTAATAGAGTTGGAACGATTTATAGATGAATGGAATCTTCCATTTGATATTTCAAATGCGATATTATTAACACGTGGTGACATTGCTTTATCTCAGGGACAATTAAGAGAAGCGAACACATTCTATCATGAAATATGTTCTCGTAGTTCAGGTGCCTGGGAAAAATATCGTAGATCTCTATCATCCTTATACTCGAGTGCACAATCAACGCAGGATGATGAATTAGACTCTGCATCGACAGATGAATTCTCAATAAAAGAGCAGATACCTCTCCTATTACTTTTTCGAGTTTGCTATTCTATTTCTATTATTTACCTTGCGATTGATTGGTGTTCTCAAGCCCGCGTTGAGCTATACATGATTTTGGTTGCGATACCTTTTACTCCAATTACACAAGAACATTTCGAGAAAGACGATTGGCTTGGGGATAAAAAAGAGATGGAGACCATCACGTGCAATGATGGATGTAGACGTGCAAAATTTCAATGGATAGAGACTACACAAGAAGATTTGGTTGTGAGGTCCATCAAAGAGTTGATGAGGTGCTTTGAAGTAAGCAGAATTTGTATTTTTTTTGTTGCTGTCATATGTCTTTAAATTATATGGATATTTATTCTCCTCATTAATATTTATAGAAGGAGCTTAATGCTGGAATAAAATGTTACCCATTGGGCCAAACATTAGACCAAACATTGGGTAATATAATTGTTTTATCTCAATGTGGTTGGCCATATTGGCGTGATCGAATGTTTCGGCCAGTAGTTATACCACTAATTAAAAAATGTGGGGGATTAATTTACCCGGATCTATTGAGATTTGTAAACAGTGAGTAAATAAAACTTTAATAATATATATATATGTACTATGAGCTTATTACTGATTTAAAATTCATTTAGATCTTGACATTCTTCGTGAACTCTTGGCGCTATATCATGAATCGCCGAATCTCAAATTTTCCTTTTGCCCGATATCGAAGAGTGACCACTCTATTTCAACGAATATATCGATACGAGCCTTAGAAAGCTGTATTAATCGTCCTTCATATAATGAGACTTTGGTCGCATTTTATCGGGAAAGGTTAACGACAAATAATTAAATATGGCGCGAAAAGTTTAGACATTCGGTACTTTAAACTGTAAAAGATTTTTATTTTAAACGTATAAATATTAAAATACATTATTAAAAGTAATCCTTATTGAGACCTGTAATATTATGTTTTCTTAATTTTAATCTAATCAGTAGTTAGAGTTTTTTAGAGGGAATTTTTGATAGTTATTTCAGACTTTTAGACGCTAGTTAATTATGTGTTATTGGTTGTTTTTTTTACTCGGAAGTTGAATCCAAATGCGTGTAATTTTAATTAAAAAATTTTGTACATAAATATATAACTTAATTTATTATTAACTGATGATATTTTTACATCTTGTTGTTCTTATCAATGTAGGGAATTGATATTTCCCCACACCTTTTTTGACAATGCAAAATTTTTTAGGGCCATGCTCCAAGGCAAAAATATCGTTCCTGATGGATCGGCGGTACTGTTCCTGACAGGGTAAGAAACAATATTGATTTACGTATACGTACTACTATAGTGAAATATATGAAAAAAGTTAGGATTAGGGTTCGTCTACATATCAGGAACAGTATTCAAATAAATTTTACCTAAATTCTTTTTGTTTAAATTTTACAGATCTTTACAATTAAAACAAAGTTAATCAAATTTCGGAACAAATATTTAACTTGATTATTTAATAATTGATGCTTAAAACTTTACAAAATCATAGTTAGATATTTTGGTATAATCAAATTTAGCAACGTTTTTGAATAAATTTAAAAGAATTGTTACGTATTACCTTTATGGATTTTTGCATTGTTCACTATGGATGCATATAAATTACTACGATTTTATTATTTTTTTTTTAAAATCTTTGAATTTATCTGATAATCATTGTATCAAATTTAATAAAAAAATTTTTATTTGAATTCTACAGAGTTGTAGAATTCAAATAAAAAATATATATATTAAATTTGATTTAGTGGTTATCAAGATCTCTTTAATTAAAGTTTTAAAAATATCTTTAATATACTAATTACTTTAAGAATTTCTATCCATACGTATGAGCGTTGTTAAGGTAAAAGGGCAGATCGGGCTTTAAATTATACGATGCGATTCATATTAACTTTCTTTTATTAAGGGTAGAGTACTTGTAAATCATTTTTATATCATTTTATCGTGCAAATAATCTAAATGTAAATGATAAAAAATATATCGCTACGTGGTAAAAAAACTCTCAACTTTTATCAAAAATTTGTGTTTATATATTAGGATATTTTATTTTATATTAGCAAAATTTTGGAAGCAATATTATTTTAAAAAATATATTTGTATATATTTTACAAGTTTTTAGTGGTGAATACAAATTCTTGATAGTAAAATTCGTCTATGTAATACAAAAAAAAATTTGTTTTAGATTTTTATATTAAATGGAAATTATAGGTAATTTTTACAAAAGTCAAGTATAAATGCAGACATATTGTAATTAATCATGACCTACTTTATAATAGATTTTTTATATTAAAGTAATTAGGTTATAAACTAATTATAGCAATATGTTTACATTTATATATAAAAAGATAAGATATTATTAGTTTTTTTTAGTTGTTTTTATTATTAATAATATTTTTTTTTTAGATTTTAGGTTTTATTAATTATAAATTAGCATCATGACAAAACTTAATCAGTATTTTAGATAAAATATTATTTATAGTTGTTTTTTATTTTGTATTAAAATAATGTTTTGTTTATTTATTTTTTTAGTTTAAGATAATTTTTTTGATTTTTTGATTTTATTAACATTTTTAGATAATGATATTTATATTAGTATAAAAGTATATATAACTGATTATATATATATATTTTTTATATTACTTATTTAAAAAGTTTAAAGGTTTTTTACTAATTGTTATTTTATTTTTTATTTTTTTTTCAGTATTAAGATGACTTTTTTGGCTTTTTGATTTTATTAATACTTTTGTTAGACTTATAGCAAGTATATAACTGGTTATACATATAATCTTTTATATTACTTATTTAAAAAGTTTGTTTAAAGATTTCTTATCAGTTGTTATACTTAATATTTCTACTTAAATGTTTTATTTAAACTTTTTGATCTGAAATTTTTTTACAAATTTCATCAAATCAGTTATATTTAAATTCTTGTTTCAACTTTAGGACTATAATTTTTAGATTATTTTTATCTTTAAAACAAACCTATTAGAGTGAATTATATATATATTTTTTATTATCAACTTGGTTTTTGCTATGATTAAAATTAATACTTGTAATCAAAGTTATTTATTAAACTGTTTTTACTCTTATAAAGTTTATTTAAATTTTAGTACTTATTTTTTTAATATTATATTTTTATTTTTTTATTAACTATTACTCAGAACTGATAGGATTTCTTAGATTATCAATTCAGAAATTTATTTATTTATTTATTTTTTTTGGTATTAAAGTAAGGTTTTGCTTATATCATTATTAGTAATTTTAGTTGTACATATTAATATACTATATATTAAAGATATACTAAGATTGTAAAATACAAAATAAAAACTATATACAAGAATTAAAACTCAGACAACTTTATTTGCAATCTAAACTAACTATGGTGATCAAAGCTTATCTAGATTTGTAATGTTAAAATATAATTATAAGATGTATTATGATTAATTCAAAGTGTTGATCATATATTAATTTTTTTAATAGTCTATTCAATTGGTAGACAAGTATTAGGATGTAAGAGCAATTGATCTGCTATTTCACATAAATATGAGTATGTATAGTTTGTATATGATCTTTTGTAATATCAGTTTGTTGTATTTGTTGTAAAGTATTGTAAATATTAAGAGTTTGAAAAGATATAATATTGTTATTTTTTTTTCAGTTAGAGAAGTCAATGCAGTATGGTTTTCATATTTGGTTGTAAATTTGATTATTAATATTAAAAAGTATTTAAATAATGATTTGTAAGACTATCTTAGTTGGTATATTGTAATTATAAATTGTTTCAATTAAGGCTTTGGATATAAGACTTTTAAAAATAAAGTCAAGATAAAAAGAATTTGCTTGAAATGATATTTAGTTAAATAAAGAATGTTTTTGAATTTTTTGAATAAGTTCATGAAGCTAACCAGTAGATAGATTAAGATCAGTTTTAGATAAAATGTGTTAAATTGATAAATTAATAATGTTTGTAATAAGAGAAGAGTTGAGACAGGTTAGCTAATATATGTGAGAGTCAAAAAGATTACATCTAAAGCAATTAGTATTTGTAAAAATAGTTAGATATATGTTATGAAAAGAAAAGTATATTGGTAATTCATTTTGCAGAACTTTGATTTTAAAGGCTTCAAATTGATTAAGTTTAAAACTAATAAAATTAAATAAGAGTTTTTGGTTATGATTAAGATATATCTATGTTAATTGCTAGTCTATATAGTAATTAATATGAGACTATTCATTGTTTTTTTTTTTTGTAAGAACCACATTGCCAATATGTGAGCTTTGTAAATATTTTTATTAAAGTATCAGATAGAAAACTCAATAAGATTTTGTTCTTATTATAGAATATGAAAAGGATTGTAGATATTTGTATATTAAAGAAATCTAATTTTTAATTTTTATAAATTTATATAATCTTAATATTTTATCTGTTTTTTTATATAACTTTATATTTAAATTAATTAATATTGTGAAACCTAATAATATGATAAAATTAAGATACTGGGACCTCACATGAGAACAGATATAATAATTAATTCCTTAATATAAATATCCCAGCAATTAATTGCATTAATATGATTAATTAAATAAATTAAAAAATAAAATTTAATAGATAAAAGGAATTTATTAAGTAAATAGATTTAAATAAATAAATTAGAAGAATTGAATTAAATAGTTTAATGAGATTAATATAATTAAAGAAGTTATAATTAAAAATTAATATAAATAAAGGCCAAAATGGCTCTAAGGGATGACATGTTTAGTTTGTTTTATTAAAAAACAAGTTTTAATACATTATATTATTTATTATAAAATCCTAACACTAATACTATTAAAAATTTTATAAATCCCAATAACTATCATTATTTGTTTAAGTTCTTGTTTATATAACTTACCTTACTTGTATTTATTAACTCAAAGTAACTGAAAGCCTTAATCACCTATCAGCCAAATCTAACACACTCTTTTAAAAGTTTACTTATTATAAATTATATATTTTAAATTATGAAACATTAGAGTTACAATTTTCTAAACTTAACATTTTGGTAGTGACTGTGAAATCTGAAAACAATGTTTGCTACCTATCACTGATTCAAGGAAAAATTGAATTAGTAAAAAGAAGAAATTTTGGTCTGATTCAATGTATTGTAATTCTAGCAGTAGTATAAGAAAAAAATTAATATAAGTTTTAGTTAGTACTGTTAATCTACAAAAATGACTATAACTCTTGAACCACTAGGCAGAATTCAATAAAACCACTACCATTCAAATTAGCTTACTAAGACAGTTCTAATAAGATATAAATCATCCATTTCTGATTACAGGATCACAAGATCGAATTCAATAACCAAATTAATAAGAAAGCTGTGATCTGATTAGTTGAATAATAACTGTGCAAAATATCATATATATATAACATATATAATATATATAACATTTATTTTTTTTTTTTTATTTTTTTTTTTAAGGTGAAGTCTTGCTTATATCTTTATTAAGTAATTTATAAAATAATAACATATGTGCAGTATATACATTATTACTATTTGTATTAGTACAAATAAAAGAAAAATTATATGCAAGAATAAAAGCTTAGACAATTAAATAAATCTAATTTATCTGTGACCTAAACCTATTAGAGTGATCAAAAACTCATCTAGATAATATCATTTATAGTTAAAATAAAGTTAGAAGTTGTATGATACTTGACCTATAGAGTAGCCCAAGTACTAATTTTTCTAAAGGCCATCCAACGAGTGGACAGATTTCAGTATATGAATGAAGTTGGTCAGGTTGACTACAGAAACAAGAAT